TAGGGACAACCTAGTCTGTTGCTAACTTGGCCAGGCACATGAATGAACAGAGTACCATTTTAGCTTTATCTGAAAGGTCAAGCAACAAGGAATTGAAATTGGGTTCTAAGGAAAGAAAGCAAAGCCTTGCCTTGTGAACCCATCACCCGGCTGACTTAGAAGTTACCATGGGGCTGGGGATGTGGGCCAATCAGCAAAGTGCTCCCTGTTTATAGATGAGGACCCAAGTTTGAGTCTCAGCAGAAGCTGGACACAGCAGTGCGTGCCTACAGTCTCACTGGTGGAGGATAGGGATGGGAAGGTCCTTAGACAGTCAATCTAGCCAAATCAGAAAGCTCCAGTTCAGTGAGGGATTGTCTTAGCTTGCTTTCTATCGCTGTAGGAAAGACCATGACCAAAAGTAACTTGGGGGAGGGGAAGCTATGTCACTTTTGGGATTGGAGTCCATTTTCAAGGGGAGTCAGGGCAGGAGCTCATGCAGGAACCTGGAGGCAAGAACTGAAGCAGAGGCCATGAAAGGATGATGCTAACTGGCCTGATTCCCATGCCCAGCTCAGCCTACTTTCTTATACATCTCAGGACCACTTGCCTAGGAGTGGTGGCATTGCCCAAAGTGAACTGAATCCCCCCACATCAGTCATGAATCAAGAAAATGCCCCACAGACCTGCCTCCAGGCAATCTGATGGGGACATTTTCTCATTTGAGGTTCCTCTTTCCAGATTAACTCTGGTTTGTATCATTGACAAAAAGCTACGAAGGACAGATACGTTGCCTCAGAGTAGAATGTGAAGAGTGTCGAGAGGAATACCTCACATTGACGACTGCACTGCAGAAGCACACCCATGTATGTGCACACCTATGCAAGCACGCGTGCGCACACACACACACACACACACACACACACGCACGTTCATGCACTAGCTCACACAAAGTTACTCTTCAATCTGGGTCCATCTTGTTATTGCTAAAATGGGAGCAAAGAACACCCTGAATGTGGCATGTCCTGGGGACCAGAGACCGAGACGGAGGCACCCCAGCATACACACTGGAACGATCCAGTCTTAAAACAGAGCTGAGGAAGACTGTGGGGACTCTTGTGTTATACATAAGATCTAAGGAAAGTCAAATCCTAACTGGAACCTAAGTCCTGACCATTATGAGGTCAACACATCAGAAAGCCCAAAAAGGACCTCAAGGGCCAAGAGAAGGGAGATAACTTGTCCTTGGCTTTGGAGTTCAGCTCACCTCAATCGCTCACACCAGCTTTATTAAGGCCAGAGTGGGGTCTGGGCCCAGCAGCCTCCTGAGAGAGGGCTGTGATGGCAGCTTGCCTGTCAGTCCTATACACATGCTCCGCCCACTGGGACAGGACCAATCACTGGCCAGCTCAGCTTTCCCCCCCCCTCTTTTCCGGGTTAGGTAGTGTCGGTTTTTTTGTTTTGTTTTGTTTTGTTTTTTGTTTGAGAGAGAGAGAGAGAGAGAGAGAAGCCCACTGGCTGATACTGCTCATGAATAGGAGTTGCTTTGGGTCGGGTTTGAAGCACTCCTTTTCCATTTTTAAGGGAGATGCTCCAGAGGGCACACTGGGAAGTGTTCTACAGTAGAGAGGGAACTCAGTGTGTGACACAGTCTCTTTGCCCAGGAATGGAGACAAGCTTCCAGTTGTGACATTAGTTTTCACACGGTGACTTCCCAACCCTGCATTTGTTACTAGAGTCACATATGAGACCTTGACTGGGATAGGTGACTGCTGGGTCCTTGAGCCTGATCTGGGCTCTGCTGGTTCCGCTGCTCAGAGCAGAGTGGAAACCACATTTCAGACTCGGCCATTCAGGACTCCCATAAGGGCCAATCATGACAAAGGGTTGTAACGTCACCCCCAAAAAACCTGTAACTCATTACGGAGATACAGGGCCCAGAAACCTACATGGCTGAGGAAATTTGAGGGAATCTTTTATTTTTATTTTTTATTTTTTTGGTTTTTCGAGACAGGGTTTCTTTGTGGTTTTGGAGCCTGTCCTGGAACTAGCTCTTGTAGACCAGGCTGGCCTCGAACTCACAGAGATCTGCCTGCCTCTGCCTCCCGAGTACTGGGATTAAAGGCATGTACCACCACCGCCCGGCTTGAGGGAACCTTTTAAAATTCATTTTTATGTGTGCACAGATGTTGGCATGTGTGGAAGCACACATGAGCGTGTACTTATAGAGGCCAGAGGCTGATGTCCGGTGTCTTTTTCTATCTCTCTCTACCTATGTATGGAGACATGGTCGAGCCTCTCAGTGAAGAGAGATCACCAGTGCTGCCTAGGTGAGCTGGCCACTTGCTTCAGTGATCCCCTGTTGCTGCCCTAGGGGGACTGGCAGTATAGAGGGGCTGCCATATCCACTGGCTTCTGTGAGCGCTGGCATGTGATTTCCAGTCCTCAGGCTTGTGTGGCAAGTGCTTCACCCACCAAGACATCTCCCCAGCCCCAAGGCACATGTTTTTCATGCTGCAGAATCATGTTAGTACACATAATAAAACCCACCCAGTTGGTATAGAGACAGCTCCCCTCACTAAACTATGTTCTCAAATGCTCCCCAGCCTTCTCCCCACACAGGGCTCTTAATAAACACTGATCTCTGTTTTGTCTCCTTGGTTTTGCTTTTTCTAGAACATCATATAAACAGGATTATGTGGCATGGAGTCTTCTGGGCCTGCTGTCTCTTCCTTCACGTAGCTCCTGAGAGTCATGAATGTTGGTGGTCAGTGGTTCATCCCTTACGCTCAGAATAGTGTGCGAGCCTAGTTCATGGAGATTTGCTTTAAAGTCTAAAATAGAGCTCGCGAAGCCCTGGGGAGCCTTGCTTTATACACAAGGTAGGCTTAGCAAAGTCAAACCCCAACTGAAACCCACAACTTGACTGTTTCAAGGTCAGTCTACGAAAACATCCAAGAGGGACCAAGAGCAAAGACGCATCATCCCTTACCAGCTGGCACACTGGGGGGCATCTGAGGTCATTTCTGGGTGTGGAGCCCTTGTGAGCAGAGTGACGGTGTAACTTCACATGTGGGTTTTCTTTTCCTTTTCCTCTCTTGTTTTGTGTTTGCTTTTGGAGACAAAGTGGCTCTGTGTACCTTTGGCTGTCCTAGAAATTGCTTTGTAGACCAGGCTGGTCTCGAACTCACAGAGATCTGCCTGCCTCTGCCTCCCAAGTGCTGGGATTAAAGACGTGCGCCACCACCGCCCGGCCACATATGGATTTATTATAGATATGCTTTCGTTTCAGCTGGGACTCAGAGGTAGGTCGTCTATGACGAGGGAGTGCTCAACTTTGAAGGGAACTGTCAAACCCATCCCATAGCGCACCCAACCCCGCTAACTGTCGGAAAATGTCCAGCGTGTTCTCACCAGCACTGGGACCTTGATATCATCAGTTTTTTTTTCAGATTTGAATAGGTACATGGGTTAGTTTTTAAGTTAGACGCATCTCTGTGGACAAGCCCCTCCCCACTTGGAAAACAATGCATACTTCTTATATTTATTTGCTTACCTATTCACGGTCTGTCTGTGAGTAGCATATAAATTCTAAGGAGGCACCTGCCCCTGCAACAGTGAATCACGTGACTAGATGACCGGCTGGAGGTAGAGAGAGACAACAGGCTGCCACGGCTAGGTGTCCCGTCAGCCCCGGAGTGGAATTAACTTCAGGATGAAACAGCTTTGTTCTGCGTTTGCAAAGAGGGCCTGTGAGGAAGGAAGGACCAGCGGAACAGAGAGCGAGGGAGGGTGTCTTGGGGGTGTGTGAATGCAGTGAACGCATCCTGAGCACAGAGGACACACCGTGCACCTTGTGTGTGTATGAACGCACTCGGTGGAGGAGCGGTAACGAGAGCGCGATGCTCACGCTCACGGCTTACTGGGCGCCAGGTGCTCCGCTCTCCACGCGGGTTAATCCACTTATTCTCTCCAGCGGTCTCATGCTGTAATGATAGCCTGAACGCTATCATTATATACATTTTATGGACAAGGAAGCTGAAGCAGAAAGAGGTGAAATCACAGAAGAACATGGCTGGGTTATGCTTTGATGCCCGGCCCTGTCTCCTCCACACCACACTGCCAGGTTGTCCTGGTCACGCTTTTAGTTAAGGAACCCTGTTAGCTGCTGTAATCAGTAAATATTAATAGATACGCAGGCCTCCCGATACGGTGACCTGAATGAGACAGAAATGGGATTTTTCTCTCAGTATCAACCCCAAAGGACAACCCCCAAGGCTGTTGTTAGGCTGCCCTTGTTCTTCTCAGGCTGGCTCCAAGTTTGAGTTCAAGGTCATCACTTACCTCTCTTCACCTTCCAGCCAGTGTGGAGGGGAAAGAGAGCCAGGGGACACAGCCATGCTCCTTTTAATGCAATGATCCAGAAGTTTATACTTCCCATTGGTCAGAGTCTAGTTCAACGGCCACACCAAGCTACGAGGGAAGGTGGCAGCCCCGTGTCTGTGGCGCAGCATGTCCTCCGCTACAATTCAAGGGCTCTGCTGTGAGCAGGAGGGGTGGAAGGCCAGCCCTCTCGGCCACAGCTCGCAGACTGTCCTCTGGACTTTGAAGTGTGTTCCCTAGGGGATGAGGAACTGTCAAGTGACCTGTAAGTGGGAATGCTTTGTGGTTAGGCTTGGGCTTAGATCACTCCAGAAGCTCATTCGGAGAATAAAGAGATGAGAGGGGAGAGGAGCAGGGGGGGGGGGGCTGTTGAATGCTGGGATTTGCAGGCTGGGCTTGTGAATTGCTTTTGGGGATGGAGTTTGACCAATCATCTGTCTTACAACGTACTCATCCCTCTGACACCACTTGTCTGGTCCTGAGTCTGCCCGCAGTGCTCCACCCATGGTCCCCACAGGCACAGCAGGACCCAGTCCAGTCCAGTCCTTGAAGAGTTCTCCAGTGGCATTCAAAGCAGGGTTCGTCCTCCGCTCTCCTCACTGACAGTGGCCTCTGTTGTCTGTTTCTCTTGGTCTCAGGACCCCCGGAGCAAACACAAGTTTAAGATCCACACCTATTCCAGCCCCACCTTTTGTGACCACTGTGGATCGCTGCTGTATGGACTCATCCACCAGGGGATGAAGTGTGACAGTAAGTACTTGATCTCCTGGGAGTGACAGTAAGCACATGTCCGCCCGTGGGGAAAGGCTATAGGAAAGACTTCTATCCGAATGGCTTAGGGTCCGAATCCGCACTGTGTCCTCTGGACCCCTGGGGAGGACTATTACCCATCACCCTGTACTGAGCTCTGCCCTCTATAACAAGCTGGGTCAGCTCATCCCCTTGCAGAACACTGCACATAAGTCATCTCTCTGCTGTGCATCCTTTCCAGGGAGCTCAGACTATTGCATGTCAATATTTTAAAATTAGGAGATGTCACACTTTAAGTCTGGGTTCCTGATGATGTTCAACACGGGGCAGCTTGATGACATTGTGTAAACATTCCTGTGGGGGCAACCAGGGTGGGTGTGGCTGTGTCCTCCACCTGACCACCTGCATATCTTCCCTCACGGGAGTGGTGCACTGGGCATTCGAGTTGGGGCTTCAGAACCACTGGAGTACAGAAGTACAGAGGCACCTGCTTCAGGCTCTACCCTTGACCTTCAAGGAGGATGACCAAGTTCAATTTCTTTCATCCATCAGGGTTGTGGGAAAGATTGGGAGAAAGTCCTTTTGATTTGATGTTGGGCAAGGTGGTTTGTTCTCTGCTAGGGGCTACTGGCTCTGAGGTGGGGGAACAGGAAGGTATCAGCTGGCCCAGGTACAGCGGATGCCTGAAACCCCTAGCCTGGGCCACCCTGGGCCACCCTGAACCAGCCTGAAGCATGTCCCCCCTCTCTCTGCCCTCACAGCCTGTATGATGAACGTCCACAAGCGCTGCGTGATGAATGTCCCCAGCCTCTGTGGCACCGACCACACGGAACGCCGCGGGCGCATCTACATCCAGGCTCACATTGAAAGGGAGGTCCTCATCGTTGTCGGTAGGTGACCCCGAGGCGCTGCCCCGGCGCTGGGAGCCCCCGAGTTCCTTGATCAGGCGGGGGAGGCGAGGACAGTGTACAGCAGGCTATGGGTGCATGGAGGGGCATGGTGTTGCTGCTTTGGCCCCGCCCCCAGTGTGGCCCCTTTCCATAGTGAAATCCTCAGACTGTGGACCCTCAGTGCCACGTTCTCAGCACCTTATGCTGGCCTCAGATGCTGTAACCCAGCCCCCCCCCCAGCATTCTTTCTTTAAAAAAAAAATAGAACGTGCAATTGAAATATGATAAATGTATATATTTGTGGTCATTGTGTATTTTGACACGAGTGCAATATGTAATAATCAAATCAAGGTAATCTCCACACATCTCTGCACTGTCTCAAACATCTATGGTTTCCTTGTATTGAGGACACAGTAAGGACTCGGGATTTTACAAGGTCTGCCTTCTGTCTCCTATTGGTCCTCTCTGTGTCTCTCTGGGCAGTCCCTGTGCCCTTATTCAGATAGCCAGGAGGGCATACTCACTTCCTTCCCCAGACTTTTCCAATGGAACATAGAGTCTTGATGAGCAAGACCAAATTTGGAAGAATTTATGTCTTAAAGAGGAAGGGTTGGTCTGTGCCCTTTAGGGAACTCCGTGGGGCCTTCGATGTAATTAAATATATTTTACCTGGTAGATTTTAACCTGGTAGAAGCCATGCTGGTTACTAATATTCTGCACACTATTGTGTCTCTGAACTATTGCATAAGACAGAGAAACAGTCCAGTTTGCTGAGGGGTGGAGTGGCATGGGGGGTGGAAAGGAGGTCTCTCTGCCCTTCTGTAGTGCTTGTTCATGACGCGCAAGCTACGTAGGAATTCATCTGGGCTGGGGTCCCACTCGTCATGGTAAAACCGGGGCAAAACTAGACCCAGCGACATGAAGAATTATGTCTCCTAGGCTTATGTAACTAATTTGTATAAACGGGGTGTCGTCATTTCGCCATGAAGGGTTTGATTTTGTGCCTTGGCCTGTCTCCGAGGCCCCCAAATGGTTTAGTAGCACTGACATACTGAGCCCTGGCTTGCCAGGGGTTTGCCTAAACCATATAAAAGTTGAAAAGTATCCCTGTGAAATTTAAATCCTTGTCAGATGCCCAGTGAGTTCTTAGAGGCGGTGGTTTCAGCAAGAGGCTTTTTCTTTCAAGGAGAAGCCAAGCGAAGAGGCAGCTGTCTCCTAGTGGGATGCTTTGGGGTAGAGGTGGGGCACAGAGTCTTTGGCAACAAGTCCAAAGGAAGCCTGTCCCTAGGCTTCACCATTGATAATCTAGCCTCCCGCGCCTGAGGGAGAAAACTGAGACTCTGCTGCCCTCTAGTGGTTCAAAACGGTTACCATGGGCAGCCCCATTTATAGAGTGTGTTTAGATCCTCATATGGTCTCACCAAGTATTTGTTATGTTCGTTTTATGACTGTGACAATTGACATAGAAAAATGAGACTTCTCACCAACAGTGGTACCAAAATGGTAGCTGACATGCACAGGGCTTTTTGAATATTATGTAATATGTCATCATGTTGTGAAAGTGCTTACAGGCAACATCTTGTTGAAATACTGCAGTACCCTAAGGAGGTAAGCAGTATCCTTTTACCCATCAGGAGCCAGGTTCAGCAGATGCCCGCACTCACTTCCCAGGCGAGGTCCATTTGACTCGAAAGCACCCTCCTATTATGTACTAAGTCACTGTTTTAGCTCACTTTGGTTCCTTTACTCAACCCCCCTCCCATTTATTTCCTTTCTGGGTTAGCTTTGGTAGCTCTTAGGGGAATTCCCTGGGGAGTCTTGATGATGATATGAGGCGGTCCTGGGATGCAGCTGTGACATTTGTTTTCTAGGGCCACGGCAACAAAGTAGCACAGACTTTTGTTCTTGCGGAGTCCTGGAGGTGGGAGGCACAGGTCCAGGATCAGTAGTGTTATTCCTTATACAGAGCTCCTACCGACTCTGGTCCATGCTTCTGCTAGTTGCTAATGGTCTTAGGGTTTTTTTTGTTGTTGTTGTTCTATCGCTGTATGTGTTCTTTGCTCTGCCTCTGCTGAGTTAGGATGGCAGCTTCTGGATTGCAGCCCACCCACCCCAACCTAGTATGACCTCATCCCTACTTGAGCATATCTGTAAAGACCCTGTAGCCATATAAGGTCATGGTCACAGGTGCCAGGATGCAGGCTCGAACTTAAGATTTTGGGGACCAATATCCAGTTCAGTAATGGAAGGTAGAAAAGATGAGGCACCCTTCAAGTTCAGGATGGAATTTTCCATCATTAGGACTATGATAGCATTAATTAAACAATGGCAAGCATTTCAGTAGTGTCTGTGTCTTCTAATTGTGGGGCTGTGAGGTTGTTCAGTGGACTAGGGTTGCCCTCGCAGGCAAGCAGAGATTCAGGCTTGACAAAGCTGCACAGTTTGGTCAATGTTCCAGGCAGAGAGGGCTTCACATCTGGCCGCTGTGTCACTGTGCCCTGCTAATCTCTTTTTCACAGGTCAGGCGCAGGCTGTGCCCAGCATGGCCTTGTTTATTGATTCTAATACTAGAGGTAAAGGGTGCCTGGGGTCTTCCCAGCAGTTCCGCACCAGAAGTGGCCTTGCATCTCACCTCATACAAACCCTGGCAGTATTTGTAGGGTTAGAACTTTCTGTTGGCCATCAGCCTGGGACACTTACCAGACCTGGGTGTCACACGCTATTCAGAAGTTCAGCCTCTCCCTGACTACAGAGTTTTCTATCGCCCCTGGCTACTGACATTCAGGCTGTCTGTGCACTTTTGTAGGCCACGATCAGAACGAAATACGGCCAGTTCTTCTCCCGAACCCCACCGATGGGTTTCCTAACTTCTTCAGAACACCCAAATCTGACACCGTGATATTACTGTCCAGCCCCAGTCTCTCCAGGAGTTCTCTATCTGGTAGCCCTGTGTGTGGCTGTCTTTGCCATGTTTTCTTCTCCTGGCATTTAACTCTTCTGCAGAACTCAACTGGTTTTAACCCCCGACCTTTCCATGCCTTAGCCGCTCATGGCAGAGTGAACTGAACTTGGATAGTTAAAGGGTTCGGTTTGATTTCTTTCTGCCTTAGCCCCAGAAGGGAAGAGTGGTCCTTTTTTGGTTCACGGCCCATCCCCAGCCTCTGCTAAGGCTGACATCACTACACATCTGTGGAATCCGAATACCATCGAGGATCCTGTTAGATGGGAGGCCTCGCACTGCACTGGTGTCTTCTGAAGTTGGTTGGATTCAGCAGATGTTTTATCTCACCCTCTTAGTCTTCTAAGACAGTTGAGCACACAGACAGTCCTCAGGGTCTCAGCCAATTTCAATAGCAAGTGATCAAGGGATCAGGGTTCACCCCTTGAACCCATGACCACCTTGCTGTCTGGACGGTGTCAAGACACAGAGCAGTGGCACTTCTAGAAGCATAGGAAACCTTGTTGGCATTGTTGTGCCCTGTGACCTTATGCGAGAAGGCAGCACCGTGTCATAGGACCAGATCAGAGTCACGTGATGAGCCTGAAGTTAATCTGGGTCCCTAAGCATATAATGATGTTGATAATGATAATGAATATAATGATTATTCAACCTCTTTTGATTCATATCTTCTTAGAAACAGAAAAACTGACATTCCCATCTCATACATTATGGCTGTATTCTTTTTTTAATTAAATTTTAAGTTAGTATACAAAGTAATGGGTTGCGTTAAGTACAGGGCCATTTTCTTTTAATTTGAGAATTTTATACAAGCGTTTAATGTGTTTTTATTAAATTCAGTCCATCCCTGCCCACCCAGTGTCTCCTCATAGCCCCACCCCTGCTTTTTTTCTCTCAACTTCAGGGGCTCTTAAAGAACCAAACAGTAATCCACCGAGTCTGCTTTGTGCAGCCTGTCTGTGCATGGCTGTAGCGCCCCATCCTGAAGCACCAGTCGCCTCTCCAAGGCCACATCCCTAGAGGACAATGACTGTGCCTCCCCCAGAGCCATCAACTGAAGGTAGCTCTTCAGCTAGAGGCGGGGTTTCATGAGGCCACTGTCTTCCATGCTGGGATTTTGGTCGACTTGATCCTGTGCATATAATCACATCCACGAGGTGTTTGTCTACACGAGGACCCTTAGCAAGACGGAAAGAGTAAAAAGAAGGGGAAATAAAAACAAAAGCAAAGCCCTGGGGATCCTTTTCTGCAATTCCATGAAGGTGTCCTTCTTCTAAGGTCAATACGGTAGAACGAGACTCAAGACCTGAGAGCATTCCTGGGTGCCTGGGCACACACTGTGCCTAAGGGATGCGGTAGGAGATGGGGGAAGTAGTTAGGGGTGATTAGGTGTTTGCTGTTGCTATCGGTAGGCAGGTGAGATGGTTCTCCAGAGATTCATTTATTCATCCATCCACCCATTCATTCATGAAGGACCCAAGGATGCATGAACTTTGGTCTCTGCCTTGAAGGGTCTCATGGGCACAGACTGCTATGTGGTAATTTTGTGATAGTCCCATGGGAACACCAGTGGAGCTTTTTGAAGGTCCTCACGGGAGCCATGGCCAAGGTAAGCCTCTTATGGTATGACTGTTACCTAGCTAGAGCAAAGGAATGAGAAAAATGATACAAGCTGGGCTTGCTGAGCCCTTTCTGCAAGGGTACACTGAGGCATGCAAAGAAAGGGATTTGGGGTGGTGTTTTGCTTGCTAAGTGAGGCTTCCTCCCTGTACCGTCAGAAATGAGAGTCTAGAGATTTTTATCAATTCACTTGATCTCCAAGTCATTGCATTATTAGGCATTGTGTTTTCACTATTTTCCAAGCATATTCTGGAATCTTCTATTACAATAGGAGCTAAGCGAGGCCTCTTTGCCTAGACGGGCGTCACAACCTGAGGCCTTGCCGTTTCCCGGAGATGGTCGGAGCATCTCCCTCAGCTCTCCTTCCACTACGCAGGCAGATTCTCCATTCTCTTGCCAAGTTTAAGCTGACTTCTATGTT